AATGGGTTACAAATGGGTCACCAAGCCATTTGAAATGGGTTTCAATGAGTGTTCGAATGGGTGATTAAGTATTTCAATTGCTGTTTACCATAGACATTCATTACAAGCCGTGGCAGTGATTCTGATGATTCTTTGCTGCTTAACAAAAGGTTTAAAGATCAGTATGTGTAATGCCTTTCGAAGAGCTCTAGCTACACTGTACATACATGTACATGTACAAGCTCGGCTCTTGTTCTTGTTGGGTGAGGCTCTTAATTCATTCAGTGGTATCATAGTTTCTCTCCAATGAGTTGTATATTAAGGAGGTTGGTACTCAACAAAAATGAGCGAAATCTTTATGCTGCCAGGGATAACTTGTTTTTGGCTAGTATATATCCCATTTACAGGAAGAAGTAATTTGCTACCCCATGCTTCAGGAACTGAGTTAAAGTGCTGATACTGGTTTTCATATTATTACATGTAACAGTGTAAATAGTGATTCATCCCCCAAAAATAATTATACGTGTATGTCATGGTCAATTTTCTTGGGTCTTGCCATCTCAATTTTTTGACTATAATGATGCAATTGTGGCTTCTTTTGCAAGGCTGAGAAAGTCTCTGGCTCGCACGGTTTAGGTCTTCCTGTCTCATAAAGTCTTGGTTTTACCACTTGCTACCCATCATATTAGCAGTAGATCAGAAGTTGTACATGTATTTTTTTGGAGTAAGTAGTGGTATTCATGAAGATATGCTCTAAAGACAAGAATTGAATCAACTTGTGCCATGTCAGGCTTGCCCCTTCATTCCTGGTGAACATAGGGTTTGACCCAATTTATAAAATATGTTGGTTTTGATTTTGTAGATTTACATGGCACTGCCTCAGCCTTCACAAATTCTGGAGAAATCTGGTTTGAAGATGTCAGCAGAAATGCTACCAGCCTTGATCAATGTAGTTGTTCCTTTGGGAGTAAGCCGGACAGCCTTAAGTCGTGGAGTTCAGGTAATTTAGTTGACAAGTTTATTTTTGTTACAAGACATTACTGCCTGAAATCATTTGGACAATCGACATAAATTATGTGAACTGCAACCTTGGGCAGAATGTATACAATGCCCACAGGAGGAATGAGACTAAACTGCCTGGCTAATGAAAAAACTTGTGTGGGTACGATTGAAGACCTTGCATTGTTGTAATATTATTTACAATAGTTCTAGTGTGATGCTTCATTTGAAAACTGTCAGTTTACACAGATTTTCATTAAGGACCAGGTAATGGGCAATTGACCGGCTTTGAGGATGATTTTGCCCACCTGGTGTGACCACCTAGTGGAAAGTTTTTCTTACATGTATAATTAATAAAGAAGTGTAGTTCAAATAGTTTTGCCTGCCTGTGAAAGCCAGTTGCGCTCCTGCTGAAAATGTTAATGAAACCCCTGTTACAGAACATTTTTTTACATATTTCGATCACCTTTCTCTAATATTTAGCTTTTCTTCTATCAATAGCATGCTAGTTCCCTGGTGAAGCATACAACATTATCACTGTTAGTCTTGATCCTCAAGAGAGCACAGAATACTGCAGATTATCTGGCATCATCATCATCATCATCATCATCATCATCATCATCATCATCATCATCATCATCATCAACACCACATCATACAAATGCTGCATCACAGTCAGCTGAGACACCATTACTGCAACATTTTAGAGAAGAGGTTATCAAGGCACTACCTGATGTAACAACCATCATTTCACTGCGGCAAAACCTTGTTAGTGGAAAAGCAAAGGCAGAGTCCCAAGAAGAAGGTACACATGTATGTGGTCAAATAAGAACCAAGACTCCCTGAATGTAATAATATATTCTACAAAAATTAAAAATAAATTATTTTTTATTGTCTAGGGGACAGAAATCTCTGAATGGACTTATGTTGTTTGTTTAAGTTTGGAGGGTGGCTGATTTCTAGGGGGATAATTTTGGCAAGATTACATACGTGTACTGTACATGCACTGTCACTGTCTTTACCTGTTTTACTGAGACACATAGTCAGCAAGAAATGTTTTCTGTCAAGAAAAGAAATTAATATAAATAAATATAGTTTGCTGTACACTGTACCATGTACTTCATTTTCACACATATGTCAATTATTTTATTCTTCAGAGACAGCCTGTCCCACAGTTCTGCTAGCACAAAGTCTGAAAGTTATCTATGGATTTCTAATGCTATGGCCGTCAGTCCTTTCTCATGTTAACTTTGACCTCAGGAAATTATTACCAGGGCAACAGGAGATGACTTTGCCTCCCATTGTACAGCAATTGACTTTGCAGATTCTACTGCAGGCCCCACCTGGTAGCCTAAAATGGTATCAGCAGGTCAGTATTACCCAGCAAATTTCAATTTACAGTACAAGCAATGTTAAGTTTGAGCACAGCGACATGTTTAGGAGGCAAGACATTGTAGGTTTGGTAAGGGGTGGTGCCTTTTGGTTGACAAGCGTACCAGGGGTTGGAACGCTTTAAGATTCGTTTGTATATGTTCATGCACTGTATGCTCTCTGCTGGAAAGATACAAAAATTCTACATGTGTACATGTATCTCATGAAATCATCTTGGATACAGTCTGGTTAAATTACCTCGAAAAACTTGGCATTTTTTCCATAAGTTTTTGGGGTAGGAAAACTTACTGTAGGGGTACACACTGGTGTGATTTCATGTAATTTAGAGGAAGGATTGAAGAGAAAGATCTATGTAACAGGTGCTATTAAAGGGTGTGTATAGGGCTTTACAAGTGTTTTACTGGAAAATACACCACTTGTAAAATTTGAACAAAACAACATCCCGGTCTCGAGTGCCATATTTTCCATATCCTCACCAGTGAAGATATTGATGACTTCTTTCATATCATGTTTGACCCTTAAACTGTACTCTTAAATTTGTTGGTGCATGATCGAAATGTCTTCATATTTTTCTCTTTCTTAGGGGGAACCTGAGCCTGATTTCATTTTTAACAGAACTTTGATGCATGTCAACGTAATATCTTTCCCTCTTGTGATTACTCATAATTAAGTTTCCATAATNTATGGACTCTACTGAATGGAATTGGTCCTCTGATAAAAGGTTTGACTTTGATTACTTGAATTTCTGTTTCAAGGATAAAATGGCCAGTCCCTTTTTCAGCGTCACCCATGCAGCCTTATGTGAGTAGTCACAGTTGCTGGTTTAATTACTTACAGTAATAACATTCAATATACACCCATTATGTACTAGTCTTATCTTGCTCTTATTGTCTTGTAAAAATAGTAGAATCATGATTAGAAAACTTACTGAGATTTGATTCTTTTCAGTCTGCCAGTGAGTCTACTTCTTGTTGGAGCTTTAAAGCACTATTTACAGATGCTCTCTAAGATCAATGAATCAGATGAGGAGACAGCAGTGGGTAGTCTAGGTATGTACAGTGTAGGTATTTGAGTAATTATACCTTGAAATGTTAGGGACTTGGTGAACAATTGTTGTAATATACATGTCTGTAGAGTAAGCCTTCCTGCTTCTACAATGCACTGTAATGATAAATACAAAAAACTGCAAACAGCATTATTTTGTGCATTGACACGTAAAATGTTATATCTCTACAATTAGTTGAAAGTTATTCCTTGATCTTTGAGGAAGTGGAGGTTCATTTAGAAATTGAGGGATGCACATGCTACATTTTGGAAACACACAAAATAATATTATTAGCCCCCAAGAGTATTTATTTTAAAACAAAATGCATGAGACTAGACAATTAATATCTTTTAGTTCAAATGTTTATGACAACTACTTTTATTCTCTACTGGGAACATAGCAACCTTATGTAATGTTCATCAGTTATTGTCAAAGACAAGTGATTTTATTTGTAATTTTTGATTAGTTTTCCTCTGGTTTCAGGTTGCATAGCCCGGTACATGAATTGTGTGATCTTTGATATGATTCACAGCACACTGAATCCAGTCATTCTGTGCTTCACTGTGCTTCATTACTATGGTAGCATTGAACTGCCAGACCATGTGACCGTCATTAGAAGTTTGCACCAAGCCTTGCTGCAGTATGTGAACTGCTGGTTTCCTGCTCCAATGCGAGTGGAAGGTGTAACTGATGTTTTAAAGGTAATGTAAGGCCAAAATTGGGTTATGAGCACTAACAAAGTATGCAAAGTTATCTTTGTTTCTTTCCTTGATTTTTTCCCTCTGCTATCTTTCTGAAGAGATGCATGTAAGTTACAACTGTACAGGGAGGTAACTTGGATAAGGAATGCATTGTAGATGTGAAATACTGTAACTGTCAAATTTTGTCATGAGCAACATCAAAATATTAATAAGAAATTTAGTAATAAAAGTTAAATGAAGTTATTGCCTCACATTTGTGCACATTTCCTGTCCTTGCTTTTCCTTTGAATGACAGAGAATTTCATTGGATTTTGCATTGAGGCTGGAGTACATTCACTTTGAATTATACATGTATCAATGTTCAAACAGTAATGTGCAGTATTACTGCATTTAATAAAAAACCATTTATTTTGAAAAACATTTAAGCAAGAAAATCAACATAAGTAAAGTAACCTGACATTTCAAAGTCTCAAAATGTCATGTTACTTTACTTATGTTTTTTTTTTCTTTAATTTAACAATTTTTTTTATTTCTTTATTATTTACATGTACATTGACAATTACGGTTACAAGCATATTTACTAGATGCACTAACAATAAAAAAAAAAAAAACACTAAACAAATAAATAAATAAATAAATAAATAAATAAGAAATACAGTAATAGTTAAACACTACAATAAATAAATAAATAAATAAATAAATAAATATACCAAAAACAAAGGGACAAAATAAATAAAATTAATGAATAAAGTACAAGACACATGCTGACAAAACTTTAAATTGATGTTTAGTTAAGAAAGAGGCAATAATTTTTTCCATTTTTTNTTGATCTTTGAGGAAGTGGAGGTTCATTTAGAAATTGAGGGATGCACATGCTACATTTTGGAAACACACAAAATAATATTATTAGCCCCCAAGAGTATTTATTTTAAAACAAAATGCATGAGACTAGACAATTAATATCTTTTAGTTCAAATGTTTATGACAACTACTTTTATTCTCTACTGGGAACATAGCAACCTTATGTAATGTTCATCAGTTATTGTCAAAGACAAGTGATTTTATTTGTAATTTTTGATTAGTTTTCCTCTGGTTTCAGGTTGCATAGCCCGGTACATGAATTGTGTGATCTTTGATATGATTCACAGCACACTGAATCCAGTCATTCTGTGCTTCACTGTGCTTCATTACTATGGTAGCATTGAACTGCCAGACCATGTGACCGTCATTAGAAGTTTGCACCAAGCCTTGCTGCAGTATGTGAACTGCTGGTTTCCTGCTCCAGTGCAAGTGGAAGGTGTAACTGATGTTTTAAAGGTAATGTAAAGCCAAAATTGGGTTATAAGCAGTAACAAAGTATGCAAAGTTATCTTTGTTTCTTTCCTTGATTTTTTTTCCCTCGGCTATCTTTCTGAAGAGATACATGTAAGTTACAACTGTACATGGAGGTAACTTGGATGAGGAATGCATTATAGATGTGGAATATTGTAACTGTCAAATTTTGTCATGAGCAACATCAAAATATTAATAAGAAATTTAGTAATTAAAGTTAAATGAAGTTATTGCCTCACGTTTGTGCGCATTTCCTGTCCTTGCTTTTCCTTTGAATGACGGAGAATTTCATTGGATTTTGCATTCAGGCTGGAGTACATTCACTTTGGATTATATCAATGTTCAAACAGTAATGTGCAGTATTACTGTATTGAATAAAAAACTATTTATTTTGAACAACATTTAAGCAAGAAAATCAACGTAAGTAAAGTAACCTGATGTTTTGAAGTCTCGAAATGTCATGTTACTTTACTTATGTTAATTTTCTAGCTCAAATTACTGCAATTGAAATTTTTGTGTATCTGACAGGAGCCACCAATGGGCAAAGACAAAAGCTTGAAGGAACTGCACTGTTTTTTGGCCAAGACTACTGTGAATAGTGAGCAAGGTAATGAACACTTTACTTTTGCTGTAGTTCTAAGGTGTAGAATGTACAATGTAGGTCTGAGGTGTTTCAATATGCCAACGGGTGAGATCTGTTGGCATGCAGTAGCCTCGGAAATAAACAATGAGATGTGTGAGTCATCACTGTGAAAATAACAACAGTGAGGAGCGATTCATCTCAGACATTTCTAATAAAAAAATAAAATATTAAATAATTAAGTAGTGACTCTTTTTATATACCAAGAAATATTCTTGTTTCATCTCGAGTTCAAATCAAGTACTGTGGTGTTTCTGAGAAGGCACTGACTTTCTTAGATCCTGTCTTTAGAGAAGCCAATTTTGAAGTATTTAACTGAATGTATGACTGAAGTACTGATTGACAAGGTTGCCACAGGTCAGGGAATTATTTATTTGGTCAGGGAAATTTTGTTTCTATCAGGGAAGGTCAGTGAGGGAATTTTGAAAACTGAGGTTTCAATGTTTGTGGCAACCATGCTAGAGTTTGTACTCTCAGTCTGTCATAAACGGTGTAAATCATCATGGATGTACAAGTACATGTGGTGTTCGTTTATCGCGATCTTTGTTGCTCGAAAACCTAACATGTATGTCAAACCTTGCCGTGTCGGAGGGAATAATTTCTGATATCAATCTGTAGATATAATTATTGGTTTCAAAAGTAATTCTCACTGATTTATTAGTTTCTTCATGTTCTTTGCAGACAAAGTAACAGCACTGACAGACTTGTATCGCTATCTTGAGTCCCTCAGTGAATCACAGCTCAGGACAGTAATTGTCAACTGTGTTGACTTTTGCAAGCATCGACTTTCTGAGGATTTCTCACCCCTTGTTCAAGTTTTGCAAGTCAAGAATTATAGTATCGCAGGTGACCAAATAACATATTAAATGAATCTACACTCCTCATCCTAAATAAAACTGTTGCAAGATTTGGTGTGCTTGACATGGAAAAGACGAGTAGTACTGATATTGCAGTTCCACTGTTGGAAGTTTTTTTTGCATGTTTCGTCAGTAGGATCTTCTCTCTTGTTTTGAAGTTCTCAACTGAAAAAAAGAAATATTACTGTTCTCTCCATTATTAATGAAGTCTATGATTTAACGTATCACTAACGGAATACAAGTGACATATCCTTACAACCATTTTTGTCCATAATTTTAAAGGTTCCACATCTCCTGAAACCATTGCCCCTCTGCTACAAGCCCTTCCCTTTAGCACCCTCTTGTGGCAGGTACTTGGAGAAGTTATTCAAGATACAAATACAGCTCCATATAAGGTAAAACTGACGTCAGAAAGGTCTTCCCTTGAGGTTAACACTTCAAGCCCTCTTCCCAGCTCATGGATGCAGAGCCTGTTGATGACAGCCTTAGAGAAGGAACCTTTGCTGAAGACTGTTCCACTTTGCTGTCATCTCTTACTGTATCTTTGTTCTCTCAAAACAAAGCTTGTCATTATTGCCAATCCAGCTGAACAGGGCGGACTGCAATCTGCAATGGAGCTGTGCTTTCAGTTGCTTCAGTATCTACTACAGCGTTTATTGGTGCTCCAACAGAGCATAAGCAAAGACAAGACAAATTCAGTGGAAGAGGTGCAAAATGCGGGTCACGTCAATGCTGTTATGGATTCCTACAAACCTGACAAACAGGAATTGAGTCACGTGGAAGACGCGTGTTGCACTGTTCTTCATCATCCTGTGGTTCTGAACAGCTTTCTTTGGAAGCCACGGCACCTGCCAGACTCGTGTAATGTTTCACGGGATGTAGGCACTGAGCTGACATACAATGTGGTCAACCTTCTGTTAGCTGTACTGCCAAGCCTAACATTGCTGCAGAAGAAGATTCTGATGGCTCCTTTTGTAAAGAAGCTTTGCAATGATGGAATGATGGAAATCCAATCTGCACAAAATGGAAATGGTAATATTTAGTTCTTAAAATGCAATCAGAGATGTGATATCATTTTGCTAGGAAATAGTCAATATACTATCCAACTATGAATATGTATGTGTAGGGAAGGTACCCGCAAGGCTGGTGGAGCCACGCCCTACCGACTGAGCGTGCAAGGTTACCATGACAACCCTGTGAGAGGCAACTACTAGGCACTGTTGCACTGAAATACAAAGGGGGATTAAATACTTACCCTTTACTTATATTGGGGAGGGATGGGTTGAGAGCAAAACCTTTGACAGCAACGTAAACGTACGGCAACACGAGCGAAATGATTTACCTCAACAGAAGAGCTGTAAATTTCCAGGCCTCCCTGCAGAATCCAGACTGCCCTGCATCAAGGAGGGAAACCGCTGGCTAGCAATTGTTTCGAGTTTAAATTAGTCTGAATTACATTTGGCCACATTTAACGGATAGTTAAGTCTGCAAGTCCTTGCAATTTATGATTTTAAACAGTGGGTCTTTGTGTCAGTCTGCAGCGCTACACAGCCGCTTGTTTGTTCTGACCAGAAAACAGAAAAATCCTTTTTAAGCAGACAAATTTTGGATTTTCCTGAGCTGTTTTACATCTTCCTTAATTCCTCAAGTTGTCTTCTCTCCCTACCTACTTGCTTATACAAACTTGGAAGACTGTCTTCTCGTGACCGGTATCTTTTTTTGTTTTTTTTTTTCTCTAAATAGTGGTGCCATCATCTCAAGCTCTCTATCTACTTGGCCTCTTTCATGACTACTGTGACAAAGAGCGCCAAGCTGAATTCATCTCAAAGCTGGTGCAACTCCCATCCAGCATGCTAATGACAACTGATCCTGTATCAAAAGAAACAGCGCCATCTGTGTTTCTTGTGACTCTAATGATGTTGCTAGAAGGGGAATCACATGGTGAAGAAAAACTTCCACATTCATCATCTGCTCTTCTGAGAGACATTCCACTTAAGATGGAGGAACCACTCTCCGTGTCGCATTTCAAACAGTTGATCAAGATTTCCGAAGATGTGAATTGCACACAGCTGGATTCTGCCATTTTAAAACTTTTGCAGACGTCGTTACTGTATGTGGTCGCATCGTCAACCACCCTCCTTGATGCATGTCTCAACAAACCAACAGAAATCAAAGTTTCTATTGCTGTACATCTAGTCACTCATTCTCCAGCTCTGNTTACATGTGTTAATTGAATTGGCTTATATGCTTTTATAATACCGTCCTTTTGACGTTTTTGTTTTATTTTTTAGCTACCAGTTGAGAATCTGTCACGTTCTGGTAACAAGCGTATGTCAGGACTTTTCGACCAGTGACCAGAGAGTAGATGCTATGAGCAAATTCGGCTTTGCCTGTATGGAATTCTTGTCCAGTTTTTTGAGAGGTAAATTATTTTGTAAGCTGTATCTACAGCTCCCATTGATAGCAAACGGAAGTTTGGACATGTAGCAAGTAATGTTCAATCTGTTTCAGTTTTGACATGTAAATGCACTGAAACTTCATCGTCAGTTATCGCCATTGATCGAAAATTAGCCTTGAATCGCAAGACTCTGTATGTAAGTTATTTCATTGTAGTAGTAACATCCATTGTCACATATCTGAAATCTTGTAACTCAAGATGACATTTGTTTCTGACGAAACATGTCCTGCAAACCCGGAAACGTTCTTTTTTCTGAATCTAGAGTAGTTTATAACGAAACAAAAGGTCTGATTACTTTTTACTTGGTTAATTTCTAGAAAACAAGGATGTCTATGAAACAGTAATTGAGGATGCTCTGAGTCACTTGGAATCGATTTGCAAGGTATTTACTGACACAGGATATCTCATTGCAGTAAGAAATGTACACAATATCCGCTGAAAGCAAGAATTTATGAATACTTAGAGAATATTTGACCGGCAATAATGGAGCAATCTTATTGGTTGATTTTAGTCATTGGCCCTCTGAACTAACTTTGTCGTGTAATAAGTATTTTTTGCGTCTGGGGTTGAAAGAAAAGATAAAGTTCTACATAGTAAACTAATATTGATATTTTCATCTTGTTGTTTAGAATGCTGTTACTGTCAATGTCGTGGATGAAACTTGTATTTCAAAGTGGAATAAGTTTGTGACTAACTGTTTAAGGTATATAAATCTTATAAATACTACTCATGCAACGCTTTCGAGAGGTATACCATGGAGTATTCCACGGGTGACTTGTATTTTCCCTGTATACACACGAACCTTGTAACTGTTTTATCCCAAGCCATAGAAAGTAGAGTGGCCAACCGTTTCTGCGCCTTTATACTATGACAAAGCCGTTTTTTTTTTCTTTTACTTTTCCACTTTTTTTATTATTACCCTGTGAGATTCAAAAACAAAAAGAAATAACATATTTTAATAACACCTAACATCAGTAACATCAATTATTTTACATGCCCTGATATTATAATGTAACTAAATAAAAATAAGACTGAATACTATAAATTAATTTGTAATATGAATTTTACATATGTAAAATATTTACGTATGTAAAATGACAAAGCTATTGGCACCATTCCTCTTCATCAAATGGCTCAGAGAATCCTTGCCTTCTGGAAATACAGTTTTGATAACCACAACCTTAAATGTAACTAATTTGGGTTTGTGTGTTTTTCAGATACAAATTTGAATGCTCCCAGGTTCTTAGAACTTTGAGATTCATTATCAAAGCACTGTACAAGGAGAGTAACAAGAACTTCTTTGGTGAACTGCTGTCCTTGGAAACTTTGTATGAAATGTTACTAAGCCATTCTCAGTTTCTGAATGTTATCCTCGATACTGATGGAAGGAGCAAAACAAAAGGTAACATTCTTCTTGCATTTGTTATGTCTTTCTTTTATTGTCAGTATGATCTTGTTAAGATCAAAATTGTGAGAAACTCGATTGTAGTGGATTGAGCTTGTGAATCTTTTTTCAAGAACGCTGTTAGAACGAGGCCGTGAGGAAGTCTCAATGACAAAAACTGGTTAAGATGTATTAAATTGGTTTTGTAACATGAAACACTAAAATGGAGAGAGCTATTTTCAAATCTGCCTTCGATTTCATAAAACGTTTCTTTGTTGCAACACCACTAGTAGCTGTAGGCCCCATTTCATAAAGCTTTTTGTGCAAGCTCCTCGGGGACTGTTCTTTGTAGCACAATTTATGTTCCAAGATTTTTACTGATGTCTTTATTCACAGAAGCCCTCGCTCAGCTGATGGTTACAGTTGTGGAGTTGAATCCTAACTGCTGTGTGTCGTCACACCTTCCAGTACTCTTTGCTGCTTACTCCGCGTCACTGTCAACCACAGGTGAAAACACTTATAGCAAGTGAATATCAAACATGATTATTTTAAATGCGCCAGAAAGATCTAAAGAAATTAAATATCATTGCGGCTTAGTACAGAACTTAGGGAGCTGCAAAAAAAAAAAAAAAAAAAAAAGCCTGAACAACTGCAGGCTTGAATGGAATCAACGGGACGGGAATAGGAAGCCATGGTCAAGTTTTGAATTTGTAATATACTTGTAGATGGTGAAGATATGCTTGTGAATGTATGAAATATCACATATATTAGAGAACATTACTGTTAAGTACGCTGCAACAAACAATGTTACTTTAAGATTATCATCATCAAGTCTGTGCGCCCCAGTAGGCGCTTAAGGCCGAATACTAACCCTAACCCTTAAGATTATAGCAAAACGTAAATAATGTTGGTAAATGAAACAATCCAACTTAGCTCTCCAAGTTAGCTCTTAAGTGTCTTTGTTCTTGACTCGGATTAAATGCCTGGTTCAAGCCCACTGATGTCCAGGCCAGAAAAAATCGAACATCTATGTCATATAAACGAACCACGCTGTGAGCTGTGCAGCAATGTCGTTAGTTATTGTGCGTTGTAATGCTTGTCGAGCTACAAGCATGTTGTTCTTCCTAACCTTACAACATCTTGTGTCTCAAAAGTCGAACGTTACCTAGTAGCAGTGTAGCATAACGAATTGTTGTTGTGTTTGCTTTCAGATCAGTCCATTTTATACCTGTTGAGTCTGTATGAGAAAAACCACACATCGTTTAAGAATTACAGGTATTGAAGAGACATCGGACAGTAACTTCTTGTACATCTAATCAGTCTCACAGACGAGCTAGTAAAACTTAATCACGAAACGACAACCAGGTCTGAAAACGGTTATGAGGGCAGAGGATTTGACAGAAGTGGCAGTATGTTAAAATCGGCAAAAAAGAAATAGGAGTTTTCGAGGATTTTCTCAAATAAAAATGGGTCTATGAATCGAATGAAACCTGAATATGTCTTGGACACTAAGGTCACTGCTGAAGACTATGGAACTGTGTAGAGTGAAAGAAATGATGGTCGAAGTTGTCAGTATTTGCAAGTGTCAAGAAACCTGAAGAAAACAAAACTAGGGCTTCAACGGGGTTAAACACATGGCTTCCACGTTTGTTTTGTTATGCCACTCTACCGAATGAGCTTTGAAGCAACACATTAGGATGTGCATTTGCGGTAAATGTAATTACAGCTCCTGTAGTATCGGTATTACATCTGAGGATGTAGTTTCTGTCCTTAATAGCGTAGTGTCCACAAGGCGAAAGCTGCCTGTAATTGGCGAGATCTCAATTTTCCACATCCTTCTTTTCAGACCTTTTCTCTGGGGCCCAGCCGCTGCTCACCATCACCAAATCACCAAGAGCCTGGGTCCATCATTATGGCAACAGCCAAGTGTTAGTGATGTACTGGAACAAATGGATGCCAGCAAAATGTATCAGTCAACGGTGTCATTTCCACAGAGCAGGCTTCTTCAGGTTTGTACACAGTAAGCTCTCAAGCATACGATATACTTAAGCAGGATGAGAGAAAATAACCGAGTGATACGAATAAATATTTAACAATATATGTGATTCTTTGTCGTGTAAGTGTTTTGTTTCACGTATGAGTAGACAAAGAGGAGACAGACAAAGAATGACAGGTAAACTATTCATATTTTTAACTCCTTTAATTGTTCTAATCCTACTCAACTATAATGTATGGTTCCTGTGGTTTGTCTAGGTTTGACATATTTTATTTATTAGCACGTGTTGCAGACCTATACAGGGTCGATTGCTCAGTACGTCAGGCGTCTGCATTACTTAGAATTTTTTAAGATTTGCATCCCACTGGACTTTCTACTCCCAGCAGAACTTTGCAATATTAATAGCTCCCCAAAATCCCACACTTTGTTTGTAAATTGTACTTTTTCCTTTTGCTTTTTTGTTAGCCTCAAGTCCAGAGTGAGCTTTCGCGTCAGACAGTCCAAGATGTTTACGACCCTTGCTTCCTTTTACCGTTATTCAGCTGTCTTCTAGCTCCAAGTTAGTACTTTGACTGTTGCTATTGATTAGGCTGCCTTTAGAACCTTAATATTGATAATCTAATATACATTTTTGTTAAAATGTGTCAATTTTATGGTATCGGTTGCCATGGTATTTTTCTCGGTTTAAACAAGTGACAGTTGACTTTTTGGAAGAGTTTAATTTTCACGGGCTGGACTTTGTTTTTGGCAAGCACTTAGTGGGGTTATTGAAGCTTTCTATGGTTTATTGGCGCTAGAAACTGCATGATGTTGGAAGGATAAAATGAAGTGAAAACCTGTAAGTGTCAAGGCGTTTAGCTTTGTAAACTTGTAAACTAATGGGGGACGTATTTAAAACACCAAAACCTCGAGAGAAACCTTCTTACAGTGAAAACTCTTGTGAGGGAGCCCCCAGTTAAGAGGACAACTTTTCCTTTTATATAAGTCTGGCCCCGAAATTAGTGTCTTGCATGTTTATCTGGATTTATGAAAACGGTGTCATTGAAACTCGGTCTTAGCACTTTGTTCTCGCCAAAAACTCTCCTAAGTATTTCCATAGTAGGAGATATAAAATGTCAAAAGAATGTCAGTCTAAATTTTCCTCGACTCTCTCGTACCACTGGCAGTAGAGTCTGGTGTTCCTTTTTGTACACTTCTCCTTTTTGTCCCATCACTTGGAGAGATTTTTACGGCCTTAAGCTGTCGTAAAATTAAGGTCTTTAGCTCACTTGATGCAAGGGAGGAAACTCTTCATGAAGACCGTTTTCTTAAATCCAGTAATTAATACGGTAATTTACTATTAAACGGACACTAAAATCAATTTTATTTTGGTAATTTCTATTGTTTAAAGTAAAACTTGTACTATGCGGACACCAAGGAAAGTACGGAGGCTGTTTGCATTTATATGGTCGGTGATTGTGTAACCCCAGGAAATCATTTAGCTGAAATTTGAGTTTGACAGTCGCTGAATTGCAGCATGAAATGTACTTAACAGCTATCGTGTTATTATTATTATTTTTCTGTTTGCCAGATTTTCAAGTGGACTGTCGGAAGTTCGTGGAGCAAGGTTGCTTGGGTTTTACAGTAGCCTCGTTGTCCTCACGTGATGTGCACGTGCGGCAAGCGGGATATCACGTGCTCAGTAGATACATGATGCATCTTGAAGGGGCCAGATTCAAAGAGAGAAAACAGGTCAGTGCAGGTCACTCAATATTGTGCGAGGGAAAGACAGACAGACAGTCAGTCAGTCAGACAGAGATATGGACTGACAAACAGACAGGCAGTGAGACAGACAGAAATAGAGACAGTCAGGTACAGATTGTCAGATAGACAGACAGACTGACAAACAGACAGACAGGCAGACGGACAGATGGACAGTGAGACACTGACAAAGACAGACTGTGAGATACAGACAGTCAGATAGGCAGGCACACCCAGGCAAGAAGATTATAGGTTTACAGACAAGGTATCAAGAAGGTTGTCAGGGAGGCCTTTCTATCCAGTTTTTGAGAAGCCTGCGGAAAGATTGGCTCCCTACTTCTCCTCAGCCATCTTCCTTGTTTTTGTCCCGAATTCATTTCAACATCTGACATTCACTTCTTTACCCTCCAACTGAAACTTTGATCAGGCAAGGAAAGGTTAAGTTGGCACTTGAATTACTCCCAACACACGGATTAAATAGGTATTGACTGATCTTTATTTTTTCTTAGATTTTCCATTTGTTAACGTGTTTGAAGAATAGCATTACAGAAGCGAATTGCCGCATATCCAGCTTAATGGTATGCTTCATAGCTCGAGTGGCAAACATTCTACTGAAACCAGGTGAACGTTGATTTGGAGCTTATCAGTACCACTTTTTTTATCATAAAGTCTGTGATGGCCTTGATGTGCTTTTTAACTTCTCTTCTCAAAAAAAGATAACCGAATTTTTCTTATTTTTGTTTCCTATCCTTAGAGCATAGTTTCTACATTATGATGAACAGCTTTCTACTTCAGAGACCTGCTTTGAATCTCAGAGACTTACCTCTGTTTTTCACCATGTTCAACAGCAGTTCCATGCAGGTAAAACTCTCATTAATTTTATGGTGGCTTGGTTGATTTTTTGGCAACGCGAACAACTATCTGAAGACACTTAAAATGGTCCAACAATTTTTGTGACATTTATCATATATATGTCATACGGCGTAACACGGTTCGTAAGAAGCTGCTTTTACTTTCTGCACGCAGAACTTGGTTATTTTCAGGAGACGGCTAAGAATTGTATGATGATTTATAACGCACTTACACAACCATTGTTCTGCTCGTTAAACCTGGCACTCGGGGTCCTGAAGACGGAGAAGAAATTTAATAAACCCAGGCCGTATTCGCCAGGTTTATGGAGGGATTTCTAACAAGGTGGGCTAATAATCTCGATATTTTATACCACAATTCATCTCTCCCTGCTTTGCAGCTAAATATATTGCCCTGGTTTGTTTGCTAGCACGTCACCGAGCGGTCCTGGATGCTACAGTTGCTGGTGGATGGAATGATGGACAGTCCAGATTATTATTTGTACAAACGACGTCACGTGATTGAACTAGCGCTGAGTTATCATGACTCACCGGTCAGCGATCATCACTCTCGGGTAAGAACACGCCATGTAAGATTGCATCAAATATAAGCCTGGGTTTTATACCAAAGATGCATTTAAAGGAACAAACTTTGGTAACAAACACTCGTTATCAAAGGTGTTAGTTTCTTTGAAACTATTGTGCTGCGTCAGTAGGCAAGTGAAACAGGTAGTTATTTATCAACTTGGCTTTGATAAAGGTAAATTCGCCACAGCCTTCTTGCAGACATCTACTGGTTATTGTAGATGTCTGCACGCAGGCTAATTAACCGCTGTAGCGAGTTTGTCAAGCTGACGTTTCGAGCGATACATGTAGTTTGTCGTCAGAAGACTGCTAGCAAATTCCGATAGCAGTGACAACTTGGACTCCTGGGCGTGATAAAAATCTAATTTCTCCTTAGGATATCAGTTTGTTATGAAGCAGATAGGGAGTGAGAACATACACAATCATCATCAATTGTATGTCGTCTTTACGTACCACCAAATTCTCGGAACGAACGATCGCAATATCAATAAGAAGAATTACATTTTTATTATGTGACCGAGAAAGTTACTTCGTTGTGATTTGCTGAGAGCAGGCCAACTTATCGTAAGCTCGAGCAATTAAGGATATATGTTACTCGTGATTTGTGAAAGTTCTTTCAAATTTTCAAATAGAAAGAATTTTCAAATGTCACGGGTAGTATAAAGCCTTCAATTGCACTCGCATTCATACGATCATCCATACCAATCCTAGAATGTAAATGGTTTAGTTAAGTTTATGTTTGTTTGTGTAGAACCTGGTGACTCAGTTGTTGTTATCAGCTCTGAAGATCCATCCAGCTGCTTATGATTTGACCAAAAACTACGGTGTTGTAGCCTGGATCCACTCCTTGTGTTACAAGAGGTACGTTAACTGATAACCTATCCTTGCTGTCTATGTAAAGATCTGGCGTATATTTTCCATCGCATTTGGAGCAAGTTGTTTCTGGAGCAATATTTGCCGACATTGATATTATTGTGCGTTATCGAGCGCCCTGTAACCCAACGAGATCTTGACAGACTGGTCCGCCCAGACTAGCACTAGCTATCCGGGGGCCAGTCTAACTGTACAAATTTTAATTAAAGATTGTTGTTTTTGTTGTTGTTTTGTATTTCTGTTATTAGTCCTGGAAGACTGAGCACAAGTCTGGACTTACTTCAAACCCTTTGGTTTACACTACATACTGCCCACAAGAAAAGCAATGACGTTAATGGGGAAGAAAAACATGTCCGTCTGCCTCCAAACTTGGCTCAAGAGTGCGCATTAGTTTGCTGGACTCTTCTTGAACAACTAAGGTAAGCAAAGACTGTTTGATCTCTCAGTTCAGTTCAGTTCAGTTCATCTAGTAACCGCATACTGTAATTAACTTGCAGATCTTGCCCAGTTGTAGCTGATACCTATAGCTATTTACAACTGCTGGCATCCGTCAACAGTTACTTAGCAGCCAATGAGCAGCCTTCTGGCATGTCATGTGACCGTACTTTGAGCCTGTTGGGTTTGTGGTGTGCGGCATTTGACGAAACAGTGATGCTGAGTCGACTTCTCTCTTCTTTAAAATTGAATGAAGTGTTGAACAGTGACGTCCAAACTGGTGCAACCGAACGCGACTACAGTAACCTCAAGACAGAAAGCTTGTCTTCCTTGCTGGCTATTCTCACATCGTGGCATCCGTCGGGCGCAGGAACAAACCAGGTTTCACTACAACAAACTGTTCTTCTTGTTTGGCACTTCGGATTGATGTGCTGTCGTGGGTTATTCCAGGTTATCAAGCTTCATATCGATATTCCGTCAAGCAGTAGAAATCAAACTTCTGTTTGCCTAGTTACACTTCTAAGCTGGTTTAGAAAATGTCTTGTGCAGGACCGCGTACTTCAGGATCGTCTTGTCATAGAGAACCCAGCTTCAGAAATTAAACTTTTAGTGCAGCTTTACCAGACTGGTTCCTCCAACAACGCGACTGCTGCCTTACATGTGGAGCATTTCAAAAGCGTTGAGAACTCTCGCTTAGCAGTTACAAGGGAGCTGAATATGATTTGTTTGGTTTTACTTGCTGCTGCCCAGCGCGGAAAGCGTAAGGGTATTGAGGAAGGTTTAGCGCAGCCAGCAGTTTGCCAGTTCATCTCTCAGGAGCCCTATGGTGACGTTATCACTAAAGGACTGGAAAAAGTGATTCTTCCTTTGCTACCCGACCCCTGTGGAGACTTGGAGGAAGGGAGTTACCATAAGGATGAAGGCGAGTAGGCTACAAGCGCTTTTTGAACTAGAGGGTGTTCTATGGAAAAAAAACTAGCCCAATTTACCTCCAGTCTCAATTACCACAGAGCCGACTTTAATTCTTCGAAACCCGTTGTACAGTTTGTCAACCGTATGCTTGTATAACTTATAGAAAAACACGAGTTGTGGAGATAAGGGTGTACTATCTCCCTGGGAATTTCAAGTTTTCCAACTGTCAAACACAGCTACCAAAACTGTTCCTTGCGCCTTAAATATTTCTTCTTACGAAAATTGGATGTAGTTATTTACGAGCTCATCAGACTATTCCAAACCAGCGGCTCATGAGCGTACATCTCTCATAACTTTGTGCACCAATTCACCCCTCCCCCCTCGCCCAACAACAACAAAAAAGGTTAAGTCTGCATACGAGTCAAGTGGGCCATTAGGCCGGTTTCTGTAGCATGAAGCGACTAGGAGTATTTCTACTTCCCACCCCCCTTCCTCGCCTTGCCCCTGGATGGGATGTTAGTCCTTCGCAGAGTTACCCCCAGCGTTACTCATTTATACACCTGGGTAGAGAGAGGCACTTTGAGAGTAGTGTCTTGCCCAAGAACACAATGTTCCCGGCCAGGGCGCTCGATCCGGAGACGAGCGTTCTAACCATGTGGCCACCGTGCCTCCAACCCTAACCCCTCCCCCAACACCTGAGCCAATCAATCTTTATTTGTACTCATTCTTGCTACAGAAAAAATTACAATTTCAATGAGCCATATTTAAGGTGGAGAGGGAGACGGATTGTTTTTCTTTTTCTACCTGGATTTTTAACCGCACAATCAAGATAGATTTTTTGTTTAATCTCAATAATAGCATACCAGTACCCCACTTCATGTATGCTAATCAACGCTTGTTCATTTTACTTCAGATGTGGTCTTACAAGATTTATTGTCTCTTTTAATGCAAGAGCTGTGGTTGAAAATACCCATTCCTTTCCAGTTCCTCTCGTACTTACTCAGTCAAGGTGAAAGTGGAAACCCTGTGGTAGATTCAGTCATACTGGCACTTCGTGGGGCAAAGACTATTACAAAGTGGATACAGAAAGATGTCTGACAACTCAGTTCTGTGTGTTGGTTCAAGTTATGTAGCTGGACAAGAAGGAATGACTCTTGCTTTCAGTATCAAGGCAATAAGCGAAAGCAGAGAAAATCACGTGCAAGGAATTGATAACTGAACCTACTTGTGCCAAGGCAATACCATAACGTAGCAAGTCGACGCATCTACACTCAAACAAATTTGAGCGATTTCCCTTATGACGTTGAAATGATTAGCTTGAATACGAACAAAAAAACAAACTAGTTGTGAGCAATATGATTGGTTCAGCGAACAGAGGCCAGTGGGCGCGGCTTTTGGTTGGTTCAGTGAACACGCAAAGCCTCTGAAGCGTGCGGATTGCAAGTTGCTATTGTCTACGACGTCACTCACTCTTCAGTATTCTGACCCGGGTTGTTTGAAAGCTGGATAACGCTATCCACCGAACAAATCACTACCCAGTGGCACGAAAATCGCTTTATACATACATACTATACTGACTGAATAAGACTGAATAAGACCTCAATACTGTCTTTGTATTTTAATTATATTTATTTGTTACACAAGTATCAAAATTCAAGAGACGTCGCAGCGCTGCAGTTGTCTCGACTTGCAGGCGGACTGGAACCATCAGCACTGCTCAGGGCTTCGATCTAGAAAAGTAAATTAAAGTAATCAAGAATTCGACTACTTGTAAACTTGTGAAATAATCCCTTGTTAACTTACGAAGCGATAGTTCTTGAGGTAGGGTGATGAAAAAAGTGCACGACGCCGTTGTAAGAGCGACTGAAAGAAGACAGTAACGTTTGTAAATTGTTCGAGATTCTTCAACAAAATCTGTTGAAACAGGAATTTTAAAGACCAGTCTAACTGCGTCTACCATAAAGCTAAACTTAGGAACGTGACCCAACGTCTCAAAGTTTGGCCACAAATGACAATGACCTATTTCTATCCTGATCCTAGTCAAAATTTTAAGTAGTTCTGTTCTGCACACTCTGGTTCTCATTTGTATCACTTTGTAGTGTACAGGTTTTCAAATCATCTATGAAGATTTCCTTTACGAACGTCGTTGGGCAGATGAGACTCCTCGCTTCTCTTTACTTGCTCCGTACAATATTGATCAAACGTGATTAACTTTCGTTGAAATGATATGAAATTAACATAAAGTTGATGCAAAACGCTCTAAATTAAGAGAACCGAAAGAGAAGGAACTTACCTGAGCTTTGGTTGTTTTGCCGATACCCAACCTGAGAAGCAGAAAAGCCATTAGAAACCTGTACAGTCAAAGTAAATTGATGCATGATGGTACAGCGAAACGACGCCTGGTTACTCAGGGTCTTTACCAGCATCAATCAGAGTCTGTGGAGCTTGAAGCGGCTCCTCCAAGGTAGCATGCTAGTCGTGGTAAACCCCAAATTTTTAAGGTTGTCGTGACAAATCTCAGTTACTTACACCCCGTAAACCCCACCTAGGTGGAGAGAAGCTCTGTGAGAGTACAGCATCTTACCCAAGAACACAATACAATGACCCCTTTCAAACCTCTTGATGCTGAGTTTAAGACAGTCGCCATTACTGTACCAAGCCTTGCACATGGTTACTTTGTTACACTAAACTGCAAAGCAAAACCGGAAATGCTCTTTACCTTGGTAGTCCCTTGTTAAGTCCTTCTAGAAGCACACACGCCTTGCACAGAGACTGACTTGAAATATAACCACATCTCTTACAAATACCTACAATATCAAGACAAATTATAATCACCTAACGACACGTACCATTGACTACTCGTTTAAGACAGACATGGCGACTTGCCAAAAGAGTAAAAGTGGAACAGGTTGGACAGTTGCTTGACTAAGTCTTATGATTAAACACATTCTTTCCACCAGCACAACAGAAGTTGTTCAGAAACCACTGAGGAGAATTCGTTAACATGTCCGTTTGGACACAGTAAAAGTTAGGTGGAGATACAAAAACAACATGGCTATAAGCGATACCTTGAACGGGCATCTTGACATCCTTTTTCACAAACAAGCTTTCTCCGGAGTGGATGATGTCTGTAGGATACAGAACGTGAAAGGACTTTAGTATTCTAATTTCCTCGTCTTATCGATCCCCACGCTATTCGGACCTCAGATCCCTAACATGACCTTCATATTGGGTCCCGAATTGAGGACTCTCGAATAAGTGCCTTCGTCATGCTCAGTCGCGGACTTCAAATGGTACCTTATGTAAACTTCTCAAACTCATTAATAATTCATTAAGTTTAGACAAAGCAAATCATGACCGTGACGGTGTTTGCATATCTGATCTTAATTTGCATAGATCTCTTCTCGGTGTTTGGAAATGTAGTCAAACACCGTCTTTCGTGTTTGATATATATTTAAACTGGGGCCAAATTTACAATCCTTGAACGTCTAGCTGATTCACGAACTGCTTATGGCGCCTCTTAACAAAGTTCAAATGGAGCCAAACTTCGAATAGTACCTTGACGAGGAACGTAAATTGAGGACCTAATTAATGATTCTCAGATTAGTCCCTTCAATATTTACCAATCTGCACGTTCCCAACTTACTCCTAGGCAGATTAAAGCTTAAATCATATACTCACCCAAGATGGAGCTTGGACGAATTTTTTCTAAATCCTTGAGAAAGGTTCTTGCGTGACCCCTGTTGGAACAAACGACGGAGTTGTTCAGTATGTCCTATACAGAGTTTGGGTAATAACGGATTATCTGAAGGTCAAAACAAGAACCTTCAGTGGCAAGACGTGAAGTTTAGGTCAGGGTGATATGCATCATTAGCAAGTTCCATTTTAGTTGCCTTAACGAAGCCTTTCAATCCCAAACTCCAAACAAAACTTCTCTTAACTTATTCGCCTACATTTCTTTCAACGCTAGTAATGAGAATTGACTGCTTTATATTTTATTACTGCAAGGAGGCAGTAGATCAACTGTGCTTGAGGCTCAAAGGAAAAGACAAGGCACACCCACCTGTAAGCATTTGGAGAATAAATACACTCTGTTGAAAAGTAGTCCAGCTTTTTGAAGTACGCGTACCTGTTGCCATGACAACGAGAAAATAATTGACCGTTTTGAATAGTCATTCGACATTAAGAAAAAAAAATCTCTTTCCTGGACGTTCGCAGATTGTTTAAATTTCCCCAAGAGAAAACACATTTGCGTAACAACAACTACAGAAAAAACCTTCCACAAATAAAGCCATTACGCGTGGCACGTAGGCCTGATGGGTAGTTGCATAATGTATTTATTGTTTCTTTTTGGGGCGTGGAGGAGGCAAGGGAACTCCGTTAACTCGAAAGGACCGTCAACAGAGTGGCGTGGCTTTATTAAAGAGGATTCTAACACACACACAAAAAAATGACTAACCGGGCTTCTGTTTGGGTCACAGGAGCTACAACAAAGTTGGTCCTGAAATATTTCATTGACCCTAATCACCTGTTGTACGATAAAACTCTCCGCGTGTTTTCATTTATCAAAAGATGTTAAACGAGCAATGGAGTCCAATCGTAATACTTACATTACAATTTCTTTTTCGTAAGTGTACTTGAATGGTTTACAACGAGGAATGGCACCCTCAGTGCCCTAGAACAAACAGACAATCAGCAATGTAATTAATAACGCCGGTATGATATCTGAAAGACAGGCAAGAGGTTTCTCAAATACAGATTGAAGTAGTCCGTCATTAGCAGAAAACAATTTGTGTTACATCCAGGATCTAGCCTCCGCCCGTACCCCTAGTGATAAAATGAACTGGAAGTACATAAATAATTGATTACAATGGAATTTTTTAAAAAATATTTATTTATACAGATCCCTAGTTGTTGTTGTTGTTTTTTCAGTTTCCTTTTTTCCACTAGTAAAAAAAACCCCAAGTTTTCTGTAATTGTTCTTTTTGCAGTTTACATCAGCGATATAACACAGTCACATCATATTATATGATTGTACATTTTTTTTTTTAAACTAACAGTATATTTAACCCATACCGTCACAATAGCTGTACATCGCCTAAGTCTTGCTATATCCCCTCGTAAAACTAAAATACACAGGAAAGTAACGTTAAGTTTTCAATCGTCTTCAGCGAAAGATAAAGTCTTATAGAAATCAAAAGGATGGGAAATTAGAAAACACCAAATTTGAAAACGCCGGCTTTGTGTTTTAGTGTGGACGGAAAGCATTTTGAAAAAGGAATTTTCAAAAAAATATGACTTCTTGATAACCATGTGATCAACCTCCCAAAGGGTGCACTCAAACTTTATTACCAGAACTGATTGTTGCGTATTCAAATTTTTCTGGTGTAGTGTAGACGGAAAAAAGTTGATGCATTTCTAAGTGAGAAGACTGAGAACACCGTTTTCAAATTTCTCCGGCGTAGTGTGGACGAAAAACATCTGATGCGTTTTTGGAGTGAAAACGCCTTTTTCAAATTTCTCCGACGTAGTGTGGACTGTGCTTGATATGATTTCACAGATGGTTTCACTTAACAAGAAGGCATCAATTCTAATATCGATCTCAAATACTTTATGTGTAGGCTTACCATTCATTAATACTGTTTCTGCCATGTCGTCTGCATTGTGACCTGGAAATGTAAATTCGCAATGTTATTAGGCTTAGTCAGAACGCTTGCCTTCTCACAGTTCTGATATTCTGCAATATCAAGTCGGTATGTCTCACCAAAGTACAAACCAAGGACTGAACAAACTCGCTCACAATTAGGTTTAAGTACTGTGCTGTTACCAGATGTTCAGCGACTAGATTAAATTTTTTGATCACAGAAAACATCAAATGTTTGTTATGACAATAGTTACCATGTAGAATTCTTTAGAGCGGTTTTCAATTGAGTGTCGTAAAACCAAAACCAAAACCCATTACTTACCAATTAGACTTCTCAGCTAATCTCGAACTGTAGTAAAACCAAAACCAAAACCAAAGTAATTGTCTAATTACTTTCGACACTCAACNAGTATATTTAACCCATACCGTCACAATAGCTGTACATCGCCTAAGTCTTGCTATATCCCCTCGTAAAACTGAAATGCACAGGAAAGTAACATTAAATTTTCAATCAAAAGGATGGGAAATTAGAAAACAGCAAATTTGAAAACGTCGGCTTCGTGTTTTAGTGTGGACGGAAAACATTTTGAAAACGGAATTTTCAAAAAATATGACTTCTTCATAGCCATGTGATCAAACCCCCAAGGGTGGAATCAAACTTTATTACTACAACTGATTGTTGCGTATTCAAATTTTACTGGCGTATTGTGGACGGAAAAAATTTGATGCGTTTTCTGAGTGAGAAGACTGTGAACGCCGTTTTCAAATTTCTCCGGTTTGGTGTGGACGAAAAACGTCTGATGCGTTTTCGGAGTGAAAACGCCTTTTTCAAATTTCTCCGACGTAGTGTGGACTGTGCTTGATATGATTTCACAGATGTTTTCACTTAACAAGATGGCGTCCATTCTAATATTGATCTCAAATACTTTTATGTGTAGGCTTACCATTCATTAATACTGTTTCTGCTATGTCGTCTGCATTGTGACCTGGAAATGTAAATTCGCAATGTTATTAGGCTTAGTCAGAAGGCTTGCCTTCTCACAGTTCTGATATCCTGCAATATCAAGTCGGTATGTCTCACCAAAGTACAAACCAAGGACTGAACAAACTCGCTCACGATTAGGTTTAAGTACTGTGCTGTTACCAGATGTTCAGAGACTAGATTAAATTTTTTGATCACAGAAAACATCAAATGTTTGTTATGACAATAGTTACCATGTAGATTTCTTTAGAGCGGTTTTCAATCGGGTGTCGTAAAACCAAAACCAAAACCCATTACTTACCAATTAGACTTCTCAGCTAATCTCGAACTGTAGTA